CTTCATCCCCTGAGCAACATAGCACATCTCCCCCTCTGCCTCAGAAGCCTCCAGAAGCCTCCCAGCACTCTGACAGCAAGCTGACAAAGAACTGTGTCTCTCATGGTTGGTTTTCCTCAGTTGATGGAGCACTCCTTAGGGGAAGGGGCCTCGCCTTATCCACAGCCACATGCCCCACAACCAGCCAAGGCCTTGACTCAGCAGGTGCCCAGGGGACATGTCAGAGTCCAGAGGAAGACAAACTGGGGATGGGCATTCCAGGCAGAAGAAACAGGATGAACAAAGGCCACCTTTGAATGACCACAAGGAGTGAGCTAGAGGGAGGGTGGCAGGAGGTGAGGTCCCTGGACATCACAGTGGTCACGGAAGCTGTTACAGAGAAGGCAGGATGCTGAGCAGCACCTTGCAAGATGTGAGCAAAACAGGAGTGAGCAGGACAAGCTGGCCCTGAGAGAAGAGCATGGAGGGCAGAACTAACGCCCACGACGGCCAAGAGACTGAGGGCTCAGGGGCAGGTACAGGGAGGCTAGGATGGGGCTGGGCCTAGCGGGTAACAAATGCCAAGCCAGGGGCTTGGGATCGAAACTATGCTCCTTGGAACACGAGTGCTCCAGATATATTTAAAATGTGAATATTTCATGGTTTCCTAGAATTTCAAGGCACTTCTTCATAGACAAATTTGAGAACCATTTTTGCAATAGATAACAAGCAACATACTAATCACAAAAACTGTCATTTATTAAGTGACTACTCTGTGCTAGGACTGTGCTAACTGTTCCGTACAGCTTTGTCTTATTTGAGCTTATTGCTCTTACTTGAGCTCTGGGAGGTGGCACAAATATGCTCCCCACTTGAAGATAAGGAAACCTGGGCTGGGAGAGGTTAACTTGACAAGCTCACCAGCTGGAGTTGCTGGAAGGGGTGGCTGGGATTCGCTCAACCCTGGGGCATCGGAGAACAGAACGTTAGCCCTTGACCAATGTACCGTGTCTTGGCCTCCTCCCTGTGGGGTGTCTGGGCTGCAGGGTTAGGAGGAGGTCCCAGAGAGCAGAGAAGTCGAGGAGGAATATCTTAGGACCTAGAAAAGGTGTCTCCTCCAGCCCTCCAAGGAAAGGGTCATGGCCCAGGACAGAATTAGACACAGGGGCAGGAAGAGGATCCAGCGCAAGCCACAGAATGGGAAAGAATACTTTTGAAAGCTGATCTGGAAACCCTCCCTCTGTGTCTATATTTCTGCCACATGAATCATCTTCACCCAGATGGACCTTGCTCTTTAAGCCAGCGCCGCACCACTGCCATCAGAAGACAGGCGTGAGGACGTGTTGCTGGGGCTGCCTGGGCAATGACAGAGGACAGGCTGGAATGACAGGGCAGCCATGTTCCCAGGCAGCAGATTACAGGAACCCTGCCCACAGCCTAAGCAGTGCAAGCCGATGCTCGGGGCCATCCCAGTTTCCCAAGTAGCTATTGTGGCTATGATTGGAAAGGGGTCACGGTCACATGGTTCAGATAAATGTAATTTTGTTGGCTAGAGAGAATGTTCTGGAATGTTGTATTCTGGGCCAGGTCCAGGCTATAAGTGAGAGGGACTGCCTGGCAAAGCAATAATTTATTGTATCTGTGAAGAACATTACAATTTGCAAAGCCCTTTGTGATCTTTACCTCTTTTGAGTTGGACAACAATGTCATGAGACGGGTGAGGAAACTCAGGCACCGAGAAATCAAGTGATTTATGCAAAATCACATGGTAATGGATGGCAGAAGCACACCATGCCACTAAGCCTTTGTGTTCTAAGTCAGTTTGGGTCTCTAAATCTCTACTAACAAGTGCTCTACCGAGTGACAAAAATGAAGCAAGCAAGAGAGGACTCCAAGGAGAAAATGATAATATTTTCTCTCAATCTCTGTGCTTGAAATGCGGGGTAAAACAAATTCCAAACATCTAAAACTTTATACACGGGCAGAGTGTTTTCACCTACATTATTTTACGATACCTCTAAAAAGGCAGGCAGGGAAGTGAGTGACGGTGATTTACAGAGAGAGAGAGGGGGCGTGAGGGGGGGGGGACACAGGGTGGTAAAGATCCAGCTGGAGAGCGCTTTGCATCTGGCCCATGCTCCTCCTTTCTCCCCAGGCCTGGAAGCATTTAGTGTGGGTAAGTGGTGGAAAATGGTCACAAGGCTGTGGTTCCGTTTACTAGACATGATCTGTCCAAACCAGCGGCTCCCTCTGTCTGCCTTGCAGTCCCCCATGGTGTGGGCCCCTGGTTCCACCCCGATGGCTGCCCACTGTGGCCTGTCCACAGTAAGACAAGCAGCAAAACGGCCATCCTGACCTTCCCCCCGCCACTCTGACCATGCTAGGGTTCTGTGGCTTGGCTGTGCTTGCCGGAGCCCACATGATACTCCTGGAATAGCTGCCACCGTCAAACAGATGCGACCACACATTCCCCCAGGATGACCCCTGGACGCGTCCACATTGCAAAGCTCTCCGATGCCCTCACTTTTTGGTGGCATGGGTCAGGACTTGTTTCTTGGGCCCTGCCCCTAAGGGCTGCTGGCTTAACCTTCCTGATGTCTTAAACCATCCACCTGAGGGCTGAGTCTGGCATCCTGCCTGCAACCCAAAGGCTTGGGGTCCAAGAGCTCTGGATGATGATTATCCTCGCCTGGTACTGGTCACTTCCTGAATTCCTCTCAAAGGCCTCTGCCAGCCTGCCCGGGAGCCCTGATGCCTGGTGCCCAGCCCCTGGAGGAGCCTCTCTGGGTATGGGGCTGCACTTGAGGACCAGTCTCAATGATTGCCTGTGAATGAGCACCCCGTCCATTGGAGACACTGCCCCATTCCTTCTCTCTTCACTTTGGGTTCCTCCTGCTATAGCCTGGAAACACCCAATGCCCCCTGACAGAAGGGCTCACAGACACACGGTGCATGTCCCGCAGGCAGTATGACAGTGCAAACAAGGCGGGACCGACAGCCCCATTGACACGGATGGACTTTTGAAAAATTGCAAGTGGTGGACAGGAATGTTGCAGAAGACTCCAGGCTTTATAATAGTGTTTTTATAAAGCTTAAAAGCAATCCAAACAAGACAGTATAGTGGTTAGGAATACATTCGCGCATAATGAAAGTATTTTTGAGAAGCAAGGGAATGCTAAACATAAAATCCAGGATGTGGCTGCCTTGAGGGGAGGTGGGGAAAGGAGGTGGGGGAAACATACTAACCCAAGCTCTTGGGTTGGGAGGTGGCTGGGGATGAGCATTTCATTCGGCTTCATGGCTTACAAATGGGTTCCATATATTCTTTTTATATACACATCAATTGCTACAAAACAACGTTAGAGTAGATGGAGAGGGGCCCAGAGGGGCCCTTCTTGTCTTCTCTTCCCCATTCTGTCTTATCTGCTGGCAGAAGAGAGTGCCTACTAGGGCCTATGGTCCTTGTTCCTGTCCCACCACCCTGGCAGCTGTGACCTGAAGATGTTCTGCGTTCTCCGTTTCCCCCCTCCCACGCACCGGCTCATTGCTAAAAACGATTCTCAGGGAGTCCCCAGTACATGATGGTGATGAGGGGCAGCTCAGCAGCGTCCACGCAGCTGGCCCTTCCCGTGCCTTCTCTGAGGGCCCTTCCTCAGCACTCCAGGATCTCCTCTGCTGACCCCCTCCTAGATCTCCACACCACTGCTGGCCTCCTTCGCTGCTCCCCCGTCTCTACCCAGTGGTGCCCGTCACAACTCTCAAGAATTCCTCTCTCTTTCTCCAGCCCAGACCTCTCACTCCTGAATTCTCCACCCCAATACCCAATGTTCCAGCCACCTTCTCACTGGAGTGTCTCGCAGGCACTTCAAGCCTAACTCCTGGCCCCCCACCAATAGCCTGGTCCCCTCAGGTGGCCTCTGTCCACCCACCCAAGTGCCCAAGCCACTCGAGAGCCCGACTCCGTTCCTCCTGTCCCTCTTTGCCACCAACTCTTTTCTTCCTCTCAATCCCATCCTGTCACCAAGTCTAGCCATCCAACCTCCTTAAATGGCACTGCCATTGATCCTCTCCATCTCCACCAAGACTTCCCAACCCAGCCAGCACCTCCCTTGCCTGTAGGAGAGCAACTGCCTGGTGTCTTCCCTGCCCCGGGCTGGGCCTCCGTCCATTCCTGCAGGTGCTGTGTTCTTTGGAGCATGCACTTCTGAGTACAGCCTGTCCTCTGGTGGCCCCCACTGCCTCGGGCTCTCCACGACTTGTCCTATCTACCTCTGCCACCTCACCTCCCTCCACCTCTCTGCCTGAAACCCCCCACTAGACCCAACCCCTCTCAGCACCTCAACTTAGCACGCTTCCCTCTTCCCTCTAGGGCAAAAGCAGGTCTCCCCCAGAACACTCTGCCACCCCCACTCCTTCCAGCCCTGCCTGCGTCATCTCCTCCTTCAGGTCCCAGTTCAACTACCATTTTCTCTGGGAAGCCTTCCGTGACCACTCCCCACCCGGAGATGTCAGATGCACCACATCTCACAGCACCCGGGACCCAGGATGTGACCGATTTGATTCTAGCACTTGCAACACTCTGTAATAATTGCCTAAGTATTTTTCTCCCACTTTTGAGACTCTGCGTCAGCCAGCGGGAATCTGACCTACTGTCTCACTGGTACCAAGACAATGCCGGACCCCTGCTAAGTGGCAGCAAAAATTGTCAGATGAAGGTATGAAGGTACAAATGGCACCCTGCCTCCCGTATGGTGTCCCGCTGAATTCTTACAAGAATCCTTTAAAGCAGGTACTGTTGGTCTTGTTTTATAGGCAACAGAAAGGAAGTGACTTACTTATCGAGAGTACACAGCTAGTGAACAGAAAGCTAGAAGTCAGGCCCAAGTTTTAACACCAAAGACCACACTGGCCACCATCCTGTCCCCACCTGTGACCATCCCCCCCAGCCCCTGACCCCTCATCCCATGGAGGCCTGGCCTGGTCAAGCCCGGGAACTCAGGGCAGGAACTGGCAGTGGTTACCTGGAAGCAGGTGGGCCCCGGCCTCCCTGTGGGGATGTCCGACTGGTAGAAAACTTTGAGCTCTGGAGTCAGGGCGATGACAGTCTTGATCACCAAGGAGATGATGTCAGACCAGACCTTCTTGATGTCAACACCTTTGGAAGACAACTTACAAAGAATGCTGGAAAAAGTCCTTTTGCTGCCTGTGCTGGCATTATCCGAGTGGATGAAGTTGCTGCTGTGGATATTCAGTGAATAGTTGGTTAAGTGCATGAAGACCCGGTGCAGATTCTGGGAACTGGGCTCCTGATATGGCTCTGTACAAAATCTAGAGAGTCCATCTTTGGCTATATAAATCTCTAAGGGGTCTAGGGATTTCAGCAGGACATACAGACGAATGTCAAACTTGAGCTTGTCGATAAGGAGAGGTTTGCAGATGTACTCCTGGACAACTGCTGGCCTGGTCTGGAGGGTCCCAGTCAGCCGGATGTCACTGGGGTCTTTAATGAGGTAGATTCCATCACCCTGACAACCACCGTCAGGTTTCACAATGAAAGTGGGCTTCCAGGAGGGGTTGTCATCTTTGACCATTTGAATCTGGGAGGGGGAAAAAGAATGGTTAGCATTACTCTCTTTTCCTCTCTGGATCCCCAACACAGCAGGCCCTCGGGGAGAACATTTGGTGGACAAGGAACAAAATGATCCCCGCCTACTGAGTACTCGCCACGCATCTTCCACAGGGATGGCACAGGGAAGTTCTGAGACAGTGGCGTGACAACCGTCCTCAGTCTTCTGCTCCAGAGGGAGAAGGAGAGTACAGGGGTTGGCAGTCACAAAACCTGGGTTCAAATCTCATTTTGCGGGTTATTACTCCTCCCTGGAGCAAGCCATATACCAGACAATGATGTTTATGAGAATATTCAGGGTGGTCAAATGCCCTTTGTGAATGCCCAGGATGTGCCAGGTACTGCACTAGGCGAGTTATCTCATCTAACCTCATAAGAACACGGCTGCTCCCTTTTTACAATATTGGAAACAGACAGGGTGCCCCCACTGTTAAGAATGGGTATTGCAGTCAGACTGCCTGGCCCTTCCACTTAACTATGTGACTGGAGCCCTGACAGAAGTTATCTGTGCCTTTGTCATCTGCTAAATATGACTCGGCTGAGGATTAAATGAGAAAATACATGCAGCAGGCCGTGAAAGACAACCAAACCCCCCGGCCCCGACAACTATTATTAAAAGATAAAATTTTTCTGCTAATCAGAGGTGGAGGGCAGAAATCTAGATGAATGCCTCTAAAGCCCTTGTACCTTCCTCTGTACCACCATGTCCCTGTCCCCTCACTTCAAAAGTGATGTGAAATTGCACCCTCACCTGGGCCAAGCATAACACCAAGCAGAGCCGACGCACAGGAAGTGCCCATTTTATCACTTCCATCCATTCCTAAGTTCAGCTAGTAGACTCGCCCGTCCTCCAGTCTGCTGAGATCTCTTTGAAACTAGATTTTGTCATCCACAATATTTGCTTTCCTTCCAGCTCCAGGACAGCAGGACACTCAGTAATTAATTTTCCAGGCCCTTGAGCAGTCCAGGTCCTGACCTGCAGTCGGGCCTCATTTACACACTCCTGATCCCTCCAGTGCTGTGGACTGAGTGTGTTCCCCAAAATCCATGTGTTGAAAACTTGATCCCCAAACTCATATGTGAAAATGGAGCCTTGCATGAGTGAGCTTCACTTCACTGTGACAAAATACCTGAGAAAAGCCACTGAGAGGAGGAAAGTTTAATTTTGGTTTGTGGTTTCAGAGGTTTCAGTCCATGTCACTTGTTCCACACCATGGTGGAAGTTCGTGAAAGAGGACACTGCTCACCTCATTGCAACCAGGAGTAGAGAGAGAATAAGAAGAGACTAGGGTCCCGGATCCCCTTTAGAGACGCACCCTCAACGACCTCACTTCCTTCCACCAGCCCCTGCCTCCTAGAGGTCCACCCCCTCCCACAGGCTGGCCAAAAAGCTTTCCACACATGACCTGCAGAGGATAGTGACAATCTAAATTGTAACAAGCTTTTAAGGGATAATTAGAATTTGATAACATCATGAAAGTAGAACCCATAACAGCATTAGTGGCTTTGTAAGAAGAGGAAGAGAGACCCAAGCTAGCATGCTTGCTTGCTTTGTCTCATTCTCCACCATGTTATGGTGCAGTGCGAAGGCCCTCACCAGATACCAGCACTTGATGCTGGACTTCCCAGTCTCTGTGACTGTAAGAAATAAATTTCTTTTCTTTATAAATTACCTAGTCTCAGGTATTCAGCTATAGCAACAGAAAAAAATGGACTAAGACACGAGACTGTGCAATGCTCTGGGCAACTATGGAGAACGGACGGACCAAAACGGCAGGAGAGGAGGTTTTCACCAGGAGAGTAGAGTCAGAGAATGGAAAGGTGGAAACAGAGAGGAAGAGAAAGCCATAGAATTTGTGGCTTCTGGCATGTCGCTGGGAGCAAACCCCGGCCGGCAGAGTGGGTGGCTTGCCCTGGTGCTGCACCCTGAGGCCCCCACCTTGGCTGTGGAAGCCTGACCCCGGACATCTGTACTCGGGATGTACTTATCTCTTTGACCAGCCCATATTTCTAAGTGAAGCTTTTGCCAATTCCTCGGGCACTATCAGTTATGCCGGGCTTGTAAAAGATCTTTAACAATGGAGAAACACTTAAAGCCTTAATAATGGTCCACATCAATTGTTTCCCCTTGTCAGCAGGATTCGAGAATGGGACTTCACAAGAGATCAATGCCAGCCTCCCAGGACCTTCCACGGAGCCCTTCGTGCAACTGTGACCTTGACGCTTATGTAGTTATTTAATATTCATCCAAAGCATTCATACACGTGGCACTTTACAGTAAATATGAGAGTCCTGGACAAATGGCAGTTATGGATCAGGAAGTGAAAAATGTCAAGTTTGCACTGATGGCTAATTTTTCCCTCTGGAAAGCATTTGCTGAGCCAAAGATACTAACAGCTCAATATATTATGAGGAGCGATATTTTCTCCTTTGAATTCAGTGTATATGCCTTAAATAAATTAAACTGCCTGGTCAATAGTCTCTGTCATTCATTGCAGTACTGAATATTTCTTCTGCTCTTTGCCTGAGTAGTGACTACAAACCCAGACTATTAATACTAATAGAATCATTGAATTTTTAGACTTGAAAGTATCCTTGGAGATCAACATCATCCAATCCTCTCATAATTCAAAGGGGAAGCTGAGGCTTAGACAAGTGACATGACTTGCCCTGGGTCCCATAACTGACTAGCGGGATGGTTGGGCTGAAAACTGAGGTTTCCGGATCCCACCTCAGATTCACTATATCCATTTTTGCCTTTGGTAAGATAAGATCCTCTTCTGATTATTACAGGGGAGACTCTCTCAACATGTCAGGCAGTAGTGGTGTCTGAGCACTGGCCTCACGCCAAGGAGTTTGGCCCCTTGGAACTGTATCTGTGGATCCTGAGCTGGCCAGTTTTCTCCAGTTTTTAAATCTCCTGTCTGGGTTCCCGACTGGTTAAAATATAGGTGTGATCTATAGGAAAGCTCCATATTGCTCAGAATGTGGTTCCCATAGCCACAAGACCCTTTGGACACTTATTGGGGAAAAGGAAATGATTTTTCAGAATTTATACCCATTATGCTCTGAGGTTTTTATTCTAGGGAGACCACCCCTCCACTGCCAATTATTTAAGCTAAGAACTAATGCACTGGTTCTTATACCTGGGTCCCAGCCCCAGAAATTCTGACTTAGGTCTTAGCTGAGACCTGGGCATGTGTATTTAGGAAAAATCAAGCTAATGTGAGTTAAATAAAAATACAATCTGAAACCATCATCTCGCATGAAGTTCTCTGGCGGGGTGTCAGCAAGAGTGTGAGGAAGACTTGCACTGAGACTACAGCTGATGGTATCTCTGGTTTTCGCCCAAACTGCTGCCGGATGTGAAATCCATTATCTCAGTAACGTAGAGGTGGACGGCTCAAAGAGACACCCAGGATGCGGTGGCCAGATTACTCAGCACTCATCAGGCTTACTGAGGAATTTCTGCATCTTTTACCGCCCCCTAGTGGATGTTTAGGAAAGGCGCCTGGGAAAGTCGCCTTGTTCTAAACTCCACTGAGATGTTAAAGCATCATCTCAGCAAATGGAATAGCACTCAGCGTGAAGAAGGAAGGAAATTCTAACCATGACAAGGACAGACCTTGAAGACAGAGTGCCAGGGAAGTAATCCAGACACAAAAAGACCAACACTATGATTCCACTGGATAGTCAAATTCCTAGACACAGAAACAGGACTGGTGGTGGCCAGGGGGTGGGATTATGGGAATCGGGTGTTAGTGTTTAATGGGAATGGAGTTTCCATTTTTCAAGATGAAAAAAGTTCAGGAGATAGGTGGCAGCCATGGTTGCACAGGACGATTGTACTCAATGGCCTGAACTTCAGTTAAAAATGGTTGTGCCAATAAATTTTGTTATGTATATTTTACCGCAATTTTTAAATTAAAATTTTTTAAAAAATTTAAATAGCTTTTGATGAGTTGGAGAAAAAAATGTTGAGGTGAAAAATAGAAAATCTGGATTTGGGTCCCAGTTTTCTTGGGCGATTTCTGACTGTGTGACCTTGAGAAAGTCGCCTAACCTCCTGAGCTCCGTTGTACTCACCTATAAAATACAGGGGCCACACTAAGGTTCCTGGCTTCAGCCCAGCTAACCAGTGCTGAACCGTGATTTGTCTTGACATCTCCACCGTTGAAGGCTGTGTTACGAACACTCAGGTGGCATTAATCACCCCGAGAGGTCACGCTGTGCTGTTGTGATCAGAGTGCTGGGACGCTCTAGAAGAGTGGGAGATTTAGGATGCATCTGAGGAAGTCAGCTGGGCGTCTGGGAGAAGCAAGCTAAGATATCTGGAGGGAGAAAGGCGGCAGCTGGAATACCAAGCCACAAGACGCTGTTTGCAGTGAGGGGCAGGGAAGAGGACGGTTTCTGAAGAAACACGGGGCTTGCAATACCAGGGAAGTCAAAGCCAATTAGAGCAGCCCTTCGTCATTCAGGATGATTTGCATTCAATCTCAGCCACCCAGGCCCTTGGTGTCACAGGTACAGGCTGCAGATCTTAAGCAAAGACAAGCTTCTGTAGACAAAATAGGTGTCTCAAAGCGCATGCTGCCAGGAGGCGGGCGGTGGGGTACCCGCTGCGGCAGCCTGTGCCTGGTACCCAGGGCAGGTTCCTACTCCCAAAGCTCGAGGCAATTCCTGAGGCCGGTTCAGACTGAAGGCAGCCTGTGGGCAGGTTACCAAGGCTAAACAGGAAGGACGAGAAGGGCCAGTCAAGGGGCAGAGCAGGAGGTGGAATGGTGGGGCCGAGAGGAAGAGCTTGAGCAGATGATAGAAGGCAGGAGAGAGCAGAGGACATCCAAACAGAGTGACTCCTCAGCACGGGTGTGAAGAAGGCAGTGCACTGGAAATCCCACTAGTGGGCTCAGCGGGGGCCAGGTCACTCCACCACCACCACTCACACCCGGTCAGTCTCCTATTGTGGATCAGGCGCTGCTCTGTGCACTTTATGTCACTGAATCCCCTCAACAGTCCTATGTTACACATAGGGAAATGGAGGCCCAGAGATGTTAAGTACCTTGCCAGAAGTTACACAGCCAATGGATCATGAGCCAGGATTTGAACATTGACACTCATATTCCAGACTCCATGCCCAGAATGAATGAGGGATATGTGTGAGGAAGGAGAATGAAAAATCGAGTTTGGGTATGAAGGAGGGTCCTAAAGAAAGGCCTTGAGTCATTTTAGGGAGTTTGGACAATGTCCTGAAATGAGGGAGACTTATTGAAAGGTTTTGAGAAGGAATCGACTTGTTTAGATAAGCATTGTGGGAAGATCTGCTGCTGGTCGAAGATGCCCTGGAGGGGACACAGGAAAGTCCCCAAGACCTGAGCTGGGGCAGGGATGATGGGGTCAGACACAGGAATGAAAGAGAGGGAGCCGGGTCTGGGGCCCCGGGCAACTGGAAGGATGTGAAGGGTGAGGGAAGGAGGAAGGGGTCACAGACCATCTTGGGATTTGGGGCTTCATCAATTATGGGGATGATGGTGCCATTCAGGGATTCAGCGCAGGCAGGAAAAGGAGCAGGTCTCACTGCATGGAAGTGGGGAGGGCCAGCAGAAGTTCCCTTCATTGAATGAGTATAATTGAGCAGCTACGGCCACGCAGCTAACTCAGGCCTTTACGATCGCATTTTGAATCAGACTGTGTTGTCCAGAGTCTCCTGGAGATAATTAACTTTGACACAATTACTCTCCCAATCTTAGAAGGAAAAAAAAAAAAACCTGGTGTCTGGCAAGACTCGGATTTTAACCTCAGATGGGGGGTACCTTGAGCTGGAGGGAGGGTACCCTGATAAGCCTCTTGACGGGGGGGAATGCAGGCCACGTGGAAAGGCATACCCGCCACTGTGAGCCCATACATTCTCGCCACCTCCTGGCTTTGGAAAGATTCTACTTAAGACAACCTAAATGGCAAGTTAAAAAAGAAAAGCCTATGCCAGGCACAGTGACACACACCTGTAATCCCAGCAGCTCGGGAGGATGGCGAGTTCAAAGCCAGCCTCAGCAGAAGTGAGGCGCTAAGCCACTCAGCAAGACCCTGTTCATCAATAAAATGCAAAACAGGGCTGGGGAGGTGGCTTGGTGGACAAGTACCCCTGAGTTCAATCAAAAAAAAAAAAAAGGTTTTATCACTGATGAGTATTATGTTTACTCTGATGGTTTAAAACAAACCACATTCGCTCTCTGAGGTCGTGTAGCGGGCCACTCATGTGCGACTCCTTGGCAGGCAGCACCAGCCCATCCTGCCAGACTCACTCCCTGCTCTGTCCTGCCGTCCCTTTCAGGCTCCGTGCAGTGATGCGCGCCTGCCCTGGGCCTCCGTCAGCCTCTCTGCCGCCCCTTTGCCTGCGGGGCTCCCACCCCTCGTCTACACCCCAGCCCAAACTTCTTGTGAGAACGCTCTCCTGGCCTGCCACCCTCCACTGGATCCTTTCCCTTCCCAAGTCCTTCTCCATGTTCAGCTCCCCCAGTCTTCACAAGCAGCTCTTGAAGGCCCAAGAAGGAATGATCGCGGCACACACGTGCACACACGTGCACATGCACACACGCAGGTGCACACACACTTTATAAACAAACTGAGGCCAAGGGGCATGGAGACGTGCTGAAGGCCACACAGCTAGTGGCAGAGCCAGAACAGAAACCCCAGATCTCCAGATTTCCAACCCAGAGTTCTTTCTACCACCATGAACCAGGGGCATCTGCGGAGGTCATTTCCAAAGAAACCTTGGAATTCATTCTTCTCACTCTGAACAATGGCATGACATTTTGTGTGTCGGGGGGTGCTCTTACAGAATCCAACACTTTGCAGAGTTATTTAGCCTTCAAATTGCCATTTTATAGAGAAGGAAGAAACTGAGGCCCAGAGAATCAAGCAGGAGCCTGTGGTTACCCAGCTGGACCGTGCAAGGGAAGTGCCAGGCCTGGGCCCACGCTGCTCTTTGGAGGAGGCGCTGAAATTCGCCTGAGAGGCAGACACAGCATGATGCGGGCTCCTCAAGAAAACCAAGAGGCAAGGAGGAACCTGCCCTCGGCGTGCTTCACCTCAAATCCAGCCTGTGTTCAATGCCATCGAAACGAGTCCCACCCTTGGGGAATGGTCACTTTATGTGGGGCATAATCTATCCATCATTAATGAGCCATCAAAAGGCCACTCCAGAGCACATCTGGGACTATAAACCTGCTTAACAAGAAGGAATAAGTCATTCTGGGAAACTGTCCCTTTTCTTCTCAGATCTCTTCCCAACCAGACCTCTTTTGCTGGGGCTGAGGGGACCAACGACAGCAGTCCTGTGAGTTGGCCCTGTATTGCCTCCTTCGTCTTTCCCCACAGGTCCAGTCCCAGCCAGCCCTCCGCCCGTCCTCACCTGGTTCTCCTAACCCATGGTGCTAAGCCAAACTCAAAAGGCTGGAAGCACAGCATTCTAAGATCCTT